AATTTCGAGATTATCTGAGTGTTGCTTTACCAAGGAGCAATAGGATTTTCTCTTGGCTGAATAATTCCTAGGATTTCATTCTTGGACTTGTCTTTCCAGTATAATTGGCTCTGTCTATCTGGTTTGACTACTGAGAATACTTCGAATGGAATTCTCAGTTTTCATTTTACTTTAAATAAAACCCACCAATTTAAAGCGTTTGGGAGTTGTGACCGCTTATTTGTTGCTTGAAAACTCCTGAGTTTTAGAGTTTTTCTGTGATAAAACAAAGCTCTTCTTTTGGCATTATTGTTGATCGAGGCTCTTGAAAGGGTGATGAAAATACACCTCTACAAAATATTTTCCATCGTAATAAAATGTAAAAATGACCCTGGACTTTTGTCCATTGTGAGGCGGTTTGTGAGTTTGTGGCCGCCCATTTGTTGCTTGCTTCGCTTATGATGGAAACTCTCCAGTTTTCGAGTTTTTCTGTGATAAAGCTCGAATAAGACTCCTCTTTTGGCATTATTATTGATCGAGGCTCTTGAAAGGGTGATGAAAATATACCTCTACAAAATATTTTCCATCGTGTTAAGATGTAAAAATGACCCTGGACTTTTGTCCATTGTGAGGCGGTTAGTGTGTTTGTGGACGCCCGTTTGTTGCTTGCCTCGCTTGCGATGGAAACTCTCCAGTTTTAAAGATTTTTCTGTGATGAAACTCGAATTGCAAATCCAAAGATCCTTCCTTGGTATTACCGGCTCTCTTTAAAGATTCTCTTTCTAGGGAAAGCTGTTGTTATTTCATGGCCATAGTTATTTCAACGTAAAGACTAGCCCTGTTGTAATAGAGAATCTTAAGCATCGTTCCCTTTGGTTCGTCGTGAGTTTCTCCAAATCTTGACTTTGCGTTAAATAATACTTGGTTCTGACTTGAGTGCCCTCGAGTCCCTCAGGGTTGATTATTTAACCTTGTTGTAACTGCTTTGGTTGTTTATGGCCAAAGATCGATTGGTACTCGGGGTCGTAGCCGTAGTATTCTTTTTGATCTAAACAACCCTTTCTACGAGTTTCTAGCCAATTCTCATAGATCGTAGTATTCCATAAATTGGGATTTTGCTCTGGTGATTCCTAATTGGAATGAGGGTTCGAATCCTTCCAAAATCCATGCGAGAGTCATTTATTAATGAAATCGCGTTTCGTTTCGTTCTAGCGCTTAATAAATAAATAAATAAATATATAATATACTCGTTCGTGACTAGTGTTGAGAGAGAATGATATCATTCTGTATACGTTTCAAAGGAAGAGTAATAAGATTTAAGAAATTGGAAGAGTTTCGGAATTATTTGCGGCGTGAGAATTTGGAAGAAATAGGAATTGGTGATTTCAAGAGGAAAGTTAGAAGAGGGAACATCTCTTTGCTCATATCACTTTTGTGTTTGTTTCTCATTATGCTCTTGCGTATTTGTTCCCACCCATTTTTTACTTGCTTTTGCCATTCTCACTTTTACCTAATCTAGTTTGCATTTTATTTGAAACTCATGGCCTGCCTGATCCAAAAAAATACTTAACGTGAACTATATCTTTCATACTTTCAGTTTTAACTCACCCTCTCCTAGTAACTGGCTTGTGTACTGCTGTTGGTGGTGGGATCTGTAAATGATGAAATTTCTTATCAATCACCTTGCCGAAAAACACGTCAATCTTTTCGGCAGCTATTGAACCTCGTGCAAATGCAAAGTGTTATTAATATGAGAAAAATGCATGTTCTTTTATATGAACGGAGATAATCGGACATATAATGATAATATGGTTAATTTTTGTTCTCACCTACCACGTTACACCTCTATATTCATCAACAATCTTTGGTTAATTCTTGCTTTACGAATCTGCTTTAGTATACCAACTACCAATATCGGCACATGTAGATTTCTATCTCCTATCTGTAAGTCGAAATCATCAAACAATAATAAAAATCGAAAATGAAAAAAAAAGAGTAATAATCTTAATAACATTAAGCGATCTCGACATACTTAAATTCGAACTGGCCAAGAACCCACTTCCACTTCCACTACTACCCATGCTCATCATGCTTCCATTCATAACCTCATGGGCAGACATTCATATGATTGGCTAATTTTTGTAGATCTACCTGTGATTTTTCATAATAATTAACCAATCAAAATTTATAATTTTAACTGATTAATTTATACGGATGTTACAGTATTAAGCTAAAATTTAAGTGCCAATACAATTTATGTAAATTTACAATAATGATAAAATGAGAGTAATATATTGTAATTATTAACTATAATTATTATATAATGAATAAAATTTTATTTAAATAAATAAATATTGTTTTAGCACATTTTAAACTTCCAAATTGCCTCTTCTAATGCAAATGGTTTATATTTTACTAATTCCATTTCTTCATTATCATCAGAAGAAACATTATTCTTTGATTTTTTCTTTTTTTTCTTATTCAAATCCTGTAAACTTTCAAGTAAAGACTGAACATGTTAATTGATTCCATCTTGTAAAAATGCAAGACAATACAAACACTTAAAATTATTACTGGTGTAGCAGAATTCATGATAAGAATGACTGCAAGCTAGAATTCTAATTGGATTTGGATTAACAGGAAAAAAAACAAGATAATTAGTTAAATTGCAATAACAAAATGGATCAGATTTATGTAAAGTATTAAAACTCAAAGAAAGATAAGATAAATATGCTTCTGGCATTTTTATCGCAGTTAAAGAAATAAATTTCTCAGATTTTTCTTTTGTTTTTCCTTTTTTTTAAAGATGAATCTATAGTAGATAATGAAAATATTAATAGCGATTTATGATAAAATACACATATATATATTTCAGAAAAATAATACAAAAGAAATATATGTATTTTTTTGTTAAGTTAGAAATATCTTGTGCAGAATACTCATATGCTATCCACATAGAAATATGAGCAAAATTTTTCTTAAATCCATTACCATCCAGATGTAATTGATTAATATAATGGCCATGATTAATGATCTGCTTGACTTCAGTATATTTCTGAGTGCTTCTACACAAAAAATTATGAAATATTTCAACAGTCGCATCTGAAAATTTGGAAAGTTCAGCCTTAATTACTTCAAGAATTGGATGATTAATTAATTCCTAATAGAAAATATTAGAAAGAAACATTAATGGTATCTTCATATAGTTTTTACAACTAAATCTAAAAAATAATATCCAAACATGAAAGCAAGATTCAAGATAAGTATTAAAATCTCCAGATCTAAAAAATACCCCATAAATATCTAAAACAAGGGGAATTGTATTGTCAAGAAGATTCTTGAGGGCAAGATACTTGGCATCTTTACATAGAGATCCAAACTTTTCTTCAATCATTTTCAAAATTTCTTGCCAAGCACTATGAGAAATCTCCAAAAGAAGATTAATATGCCATGGCTTGGAAGTTTGAGCAAGAGGCTTTCGTGGTCCAAAAATATACTTATATATCTCTGTGAAAAAAGACTGATATTGAAGAAAAACCAATTCTCAGCTATTTAATGAAATATGAAGAGGTTCTATAATTGGAAGAAAAGATAAAATATTATTAGTAATATTTTATGAGTCTTTATAAACCAAATAGCGTGATATTGCTATTCTAAGATGAATTTGCCCAGGCCAGTTAGCAACAAGAGAAATCATATACCCTTTTTCAATATACTACCATATAGATGGGATACTTGTAACAGTATTAATAGCTTCAATATATTCATCCATCATATGAAGTTGATTCTCTTGTAAATCTATAAGGATAACATCCTTCATTAAATAACTATGATGCTTCTCTTGTAACCGGATATCATAACTATGCACAGTTAACTCTTCTAATCTTGTACCATCATTGACTGTGCAAAACCCCAATGTTGATTATGTGAAAGACCATAAGGTGCCATAAATCGATTACCTATATTAAATTTAATTAAATTAGCATCAACTAATAAAGGGTTATGTATATTTTCTTGAGGAATAGCTGCCTGATTAGTAATTGGATTCATTAATATTGTGGCCAAATGTGCTGCTATAGATGTAGTGGTTGTGTTGGGCATCTGTGAGATATGAATACTATGATAATCATCTATATTCAACACCATTGCTTTTTCCATATGTCCAGCAAGTGCCGAATCAACAACTTCAGCATGTTCTTCAGATGCATTGACCTTACACTGTGCAATTGAACGAGATGTAATGGTTATACCCAATTCTGCAAGTGTATCTATAGTAGTATCGGAAACACCAGTCGAATCTAAATATAAAGATAAATCTCTTTTAGCATCATTCACGAACTTATTTCTTATTCCACAAAGAAAATAACATATGAATAGAAGTTGCTTTTTCACTCGTATTTTTGTTTCTTTATTTTTTGATTGCGGATTTGACGAAAGGTATAACTCATCAAAAAAATTTTTTAATCTTGTGTCCTTCTCTTCCATGATTGTTCGAAATTCGTCAAATGAATATATTGGTGATTCTTTCTCTTTATTTTCACGATTGTATAAAATTTTTGTTAGTATTTCTATTGCTTTAGAAAAAGACAAATAAGAATCATAAAATTCATTAGCCTTA